ACAAGGAGAGGCCATCTGATATGACATGCTTTACTTTAGTATATATACTAGCAAGCCTCGTGTGATGCACAGGAAAAACGTGTTAGGGATTATTGGGCTTAGCACTTATTGCTCTATAGAGATAAACAATCCGAGGGTAGGGATGGCAATTTTCCCCTACTCCGTCGAGTATCCAGCTTCCTTGAACAAGTGGGAATGGGGATGGGATTAATAGGAATACTCGATTGGGGATGAGGATGGGGACGGGGAGTGAAGTTTACACCTCGCCTTGACCAAGATTATATATATTAAATATATGTGTATATATATATATTAAATATATAATATTATTTATATTATAAATATATCAAAATATATTTAAAATATTATTTGCATTTTTATTTTCCTTTGTGTTAAATAAATACCTTTTCTAAAAACAATCTTTTAATTAAAAAATTTAGGAATCAGGTCCTTGATGGGGAACCTGTCTTGATCGAGGATTGGGAATTAATTTAAAACTCGGGATCAGCATTGGGAGTATGATCCCCACTCCAAACCTACCCATTGCCATTCCTACTCGGGGAGTTATCCCCCAAAACCATAAATATAGTTTCAATAATTATGGTAATTATAAATGTAGTATCCATTACTTATGGAAATTATTAAAAATTTTCAATTATATATTTGAATAATTGGAAGTTTTATAATTTAACTTCCACTAAATTGAATTACCAAAATCCATAAATTTTAGTAATTAAATTACCAAAACCACTAATTATTGCTCAAAAATTGTAGTAAATATCAAAATTACTGAAAATATAAAAAAATAGATTTATATTTATTGAAATTAATTTTCTATTAAAAAATAAATTACTAAAAAAATTTAATTATTATTTGATAATATCATTAAATATTATTAAAATGTAAAAATTAAACTTATATTTATTGAAATAAAACTTTCAATGAAATATACCAATAATTTTTAATTAATAAATTTTTATTTAAAAATATTTTAATTAGTTATCAATTTTTCAGTAATTACTGATTTCAATAATTAATTTTCAAAAATTTCTGAAATTAAATTACCAAAATCAGTAATTTTCAGCATGTAATTTTTTGTAATTAAAATTTCCAATTTTCCAAAATTATGAAAAATTCCAATTTTCCAAAATTAAGTGTTGATATTTACTGAATAAAATTCAATAATATTAGTAATTACTGAAAATATAAAAAATATTTTACAAATTAATTTAACAACCTAAATTAATTGAACCATGTTTTTTGGTTTTTAGATGGTTTATTGAGCATGTAATATAGATTAAGAAATGTATTCGGAGGAATTTTTGGTGGGAGAGATAGTTTAGGAGGAATTTTATGAGGGGGTTGGCTAATGTTTGGGAGAGAGAGAGAGAGAGAGAGAGAGAGATTAAGAAGAGAAGGCTGCCATGTGACTACATGAAAGGGCTTGGTTTTGGACAAGTTTAAGTTTGCATGGATTGAGAGAGATTACAGAAAAAGATTAGAGAGAGAGAGAGAGAGAGAGAGAGAGAGAGAGAGATTATAGGAAAAGATTTCCTAAGTTAATGGATTTTCTTCCTAAAATAAAGTTAGTGGGTTTTCGTCCTAAATTAATGGGGCAAAAAAGGGGACCCCCTCTATAATTGCTTGGTCTAGAGAATGGGGCAAAGAGAGGCCATCTGACATAACAAGTGTGTATATGTGTGTGTGCGTGCATGTATGTGCTTTGTGGGGCATATACACATGAAATGTAAATCTCTACTTTAGTGTGTGTGTTTTGTGGGGCATATACACATGAAGTGTATAGCCATCTAGCCTAATTGTGATGGGGCATTATTATTGGAGTGGTTGTGGGGCATATACATTGATAGTTGAGTCCGGATGAATTGCATCATAATTCTAACCCCACCATAGCCATGAAGTGTATAGCCCCCACATACAATAGTTGCACTTAAGGTTCCTTTACTTTGATTAAGGAACCAATACGATTAATTGTTTTAAATTTTCTTTGGGGGTTCGACTATATGCTGGAAATACATAATACTAGAAAAACTTACAACTAAAAACCGGCATCATAAAAGTTAAAATTTGTTAATAAAATAATAATAATAATAAAATTTATTAATCAAAAGTCCAATTAAATTACTAATATTATAAATAAAATTAATAAAAATAGTAATCTTATAAAATCAATTTTGCTATGACAAATTTATCAATTTTAAAACTAATTTTTATTAATTTAAATTCTGTTTAAAATACTTGCATTAATAAAGTTATAGTAGGCGTATAGCCTAATTAACCTAGCCCAAGATCACACCTATTTAAGAATGTGATAGGTCTCTTTTTACTTCATATTCTCTCAAAAAGGTCCAAACATAATAAAGATCATGGTTTTAAAAAATGATTCGGAAATGGAACCGTTCTGGCCATTAGTTTTTGGGTCGACTGTTCAACCATCCAGTTCGAACGGATGGCCCATTCTGACAATAAAAATTAAAAAATAAAAAATAATTAAAAATAAAAAATGGCAAAAAACCATTGAGTGGGTCGACGAATCGACGGTTTGACCACTCGGGTCAACGGGTTGTTGACCGATTCAGCGGTTTTTGGCCTGAAACCGGGTTTGGGTTAAAACGAAACTGGTTGACTGGATGGTTCTCAGGCCGAACAGTCCAACCATCCGGGTCAACAACGGCTCGAAAACCATGATAAAAATAGAGCATAGGAGAATAAGAATGTCAACCCAATAACCCATAAACCAATTTCCAACTTCAATTAATGACGCTTGAGTTTTCAAAATATCACAAAAAATACAATTGAAAGAGTAGAACATGGGTTGGGTTGGCATCAGTTGAACCCTATAGAGCTGAGTGGGTTGGCATGGGTTTGACTCAACCCTAACCCGACCCTCCCATTCTTCCACTCAAACCCAACCCAACCCAACTCAATACTATGTAGTTTTTGAACCTGCCCCAGCCTATATAGGGTACAATTCGACAACGACCCAACCCATCATGTAGTTATTTTTTGTGATACTTTTAATTTGAAAGCTCAAGAGCCATTAATTTAAGTTGGAAATTGGTTTATGAGTTCCAAGGTATCATCACTTCTCCGAATTAAAAAAAAAAAAGAAAATAGTGAAATAAATCATATACTTTAAGGTTAGGGGTTAGAAGTCGGACCAAATTACAAAGAATACCATTTATATGTGTCCAAATCAAAACTCTAACCTAACCCTACACCTTAATAAACCTGCTGACCCTAACCTTACCATGTACGGGTAAATCAAATCGAATTTACCATTTAACTTGACCTATTGACATCCCTATACCAGATTAGCCACTCTAGGTTTTAATTTGGATTATGGTAATAACGTAATACCAAGAAGATGATTAATAATGGACGGAATTTTGTACATGAAAATGTGATTTACAATACAAACTGTTGGGTCATGGCTGAGTTGGCCCTGAGAGACATGTGGCCGCTCAGTCATCACCGAGCCACATCGGCATAGCCCGTCCATGTTAGCGTAGCTTGGCCACGTCGGCTCAGCTCAGCCGAGTGATGTTATTACCGTGCCCCCCCTCCTCATCCCTCCAGCCATGTCAGCTACATGCCCCACAAATAAGCTCAACCGCGGATAAGGGGGTGGGAAGACAACTCCGCCGAGGAGTAGGACTCTACCCTGATACCCTCGGCGGAGAACTCCATCCCGATCTCCCTGGAAGCCTAATCCGACTAGGAGACGAAACCCCGACTATAAAAAGGTGCTCCATGCTCAAGGTAAGGGATTCAGACCTCTAGCACTCAAATTATTATCTTGCTCGGACCAGCAACCTCATTGCTCAGCCCGACCATTCACCGCCCTTTCACTGACTTGAGCGTCGGAGTGTCTACCCAGGGACAACTCCTTGGGCCTCTGACTTCTTCTCTTGATCACAGGTTACATAGCGCGGCACTGTTCTTGTAAGCTCGGCACCATCCAGTCAACAAGGATTATCTAGTTGCTCTCCTCAGTTCGTGCACCACCTCGGATTGAATAGATCAGATTGGTGTTGTCTATGGGAACACACAAAAAGCCTTCCCAAAAAAATCCTTCGCTGCGCAGCCTCAGAACCGATCAAGATGCCTAAAAACCAGTCCAAACGATCAGCAGGCCGGTCCCCATATCGAGAACCCTGACATCACAACTCCTTGCATCAGGAAGCCCCACAGCCCTCGGCCGTGGTGGACCCAACGCAGTTCCGAGCTATGCAAGAGAAGGCCGACAAGATCTTCAACTTCATGCAGGCGCTGGGGTCTGCCGTGCCGCCCAACTAGGCCATCCCCCTCATGCCCCGACGTGCACAAAGGACGATCCTCAGACCGAGGACCCCAAAGTATGTCGGCCGAATGTGAGGGGAGAGTGGTCCGAGCGAGAGAAGAAGGACACGACTCGAAGACCCGCCTCTACCGCCCGCTCCCGCAAGCAGGATCACCACATCTAGACACGCTAGTCAGTTCAGATCCTCGCCGAGGAAAGGCTCGGCAAGAGGATGCCACCCACACTATGGCCCCAGACGATAGAGACGCCGAGATTAGAGAGTTTCGGCAACGTTTAGAAGAACTGGAATGCACTCAGACCCACGAGAGCGTAACGCCCGCCGTGGACCAGCCAACGCAGGCTGCCACGCATTCTTTCATGGAGTTGCCCTTCATCCAGGAAATCATAGATGAGATGCCCTCCACTGGATGACGAGCCCCCTAGTTCGACAAATACGACAGGAACACCAACCCTTTCGACCATGTCGCGGTGCTCAAAGCTCAGATGGTGTTGCACGGCATGTTGGAAGGGCTGATGTGCGAAGCCCTTGTAGCCACCCTGCAAGGTCCAACTTTGGCTAGCTTTGGCATGGTACTCATCTCTACCGCCACGCTCCATAACGTCATGGGACTAGCTGGAGACCCATTTTCTGGCGTAGTTCTCCATCTCCAAAAATCCTCCTTAGATGCTAGTCGCACTAATGAGCCACGTGCAGAAGTATATCTACGCTGAAGAGGCTCAGGCGCAACTTAGAGACGAAGATGAGAAACCCGACAAGAAAATGAGAGATACCGATGAGCAAAAGTCCGAGAGGTTGGACAAAGACCACAAGAGACAGGATCCCCGACCAGACCATAGACCTTGGACCCCTCCACCGACCTATTGGAATTTCACACTGCTCAATATTTCACGGTTTGAAATTCTGATGCAAATCTGTAACCGTAATTATGTCAGGTGGCCCGAGAAGATGAAGACGCAGAGTAACAAGAGGAATCGAGACAAATACTACGAGTTCCACAAGGGCCATGGCCATGACACGAAGAAATGTTTCTACCTGCGCAACAACATTGAAGATCTTATTAGGCGTGGTTACATCAGCGACTTCATTGACAGAAGTGAGAAGCTAGCCCAAGAAGAGAGGAGAATGGGTGAAGATCAACAACCTCTGCCCCAAGGCCCCCTAGCCAGCGTTATCCACCTCATATCAGGAGGAACCGTCATCGAAGGGGAAAGCAGTTCAGGTCGAAAGAAATATGCTCGGCTGTGCGAGATCGACGATCGGGGCCACAAGAAGAAGTGCAGCCCATCTATCACCTTCACCGACGACAACCTCCAAGGGGTCCAGACACCGCACGACAATGCCTTGGTCATCACGGCCGAGGTGGCTAACTTTGAGGTGCGGTGGATCCTAGTTGACACAGGGAGCTCTGCCGACGTACTGTTCGAAGATGCATTTGAAAAGTTTGGCATGGACAGAGAGTGGCTTACGCCGGTCAACACTCCCATGATGGTATTCTCGGGAGAGCCCCTCCTGCCCACTAGGAGAATAACTCTTCCCCTCTTGATCGGGGACGGCGATGTAACTGCAACGACCGTGGTAGACTTTATCGTGATACGTTGCCACTCTTCATACAATGCTATCCTCGGCAGGTCAACCCTCAACACCTTGGAGTCCACAGTCTTGGCAAACCACCTCACCATGAAATTTCTGACCAAGTACAACATATGGGGTGGCACGCGGAGACCAAAGAACAATGCGGCAGTGCTATCAGCTCTCCTGCTGAGGACCACGTCTGACTGCCGAGACACTGATGGCGAAGGCCTATGACTTGCGTGACAAAGTAAAGGCACAACACGACCAACTTGTGGAAGTCCTCATTCAGGTCCCTCTCTCTAAAGAAGATCCCGAAAAGACAGCCCAAGTCAGCTCCCTACTAGACGACCACCTCTGGAAGAACTTATGCAACTACTGAGGGACAACGACAATGTGTTCGCTTGGTCGACAGTGGACATGCCCGGGATCGACCCTAAAGTTATCACACATCAGTTGAATGTCGACCCACATTATCGACTTGTGAAGCAGAAGAAGAGGAGCTTCGCCAATGGGAAGTGGAGGATCTGCATCGACTTTACTGACCTAAATAAGACATGCCCCAAAGACAGCTTCCCCCTACCGAGGATCGACCAACTCGTCGACGCAATGACGAGGCATTAGCTATTGAGCTTCATGGATGCCTTCTCAAGTTACAACCAAATCTGGATGCACCCGGATGACCAGGAGCAGACAACTTTTATCACTGACCGCATCCTGTATTGCTACAGGGTAATGCCCTTCGACCTCAAGAATGCTGGTGCCACTTATCAATGGATGGTGAACGAGGTATTCAAAGAATAGATCAGGTGGAATGTAGAAGCGTATGTCGACGATATGCTCGTGAAGAGCAAGAAATCCGAGCATCACTTGGTCGACCTTTGTGAAGTCTTCGACACCCTCAGAAAATACAAGATGAAGCTAAACCCAACCAAGTGCACTTTTGGGGTCGGCTCCGGCAAGTTCCTGTGGTTCACGGTGGCATAGAGAGGGATCGAAGCGAATCCGAAGAAGATAAAGGCCATCCTTGACATGCCATCTCCCCGGACCCTTAAAGAGGTGCAACGACTCATTGGAAGAATAGCCGCCCTTAGTAGATTTATGTCCAAATCCGCGGATCAGTGCCTCCCATTCTTCAAAGCCCTTAAGCGGCCAAAAGATTTCTGTTGGACCGAAGAATGTGAGCAATCTTTCCAGGAGCTGAAGCAGTACTTGAGATCGCTGCCCCTCCTGACCAAGCCGAACCCAGGGGATGAGCTATTGCTCAACTCTTGGCTGCAAATGAGGTCGTCAGCTCGATACTGATTAAGGAAGAAGACTGGGTACAGAGGTTGATCTACTACACCAGCAAAGTCCTCAACAGCATGGAAACCCAATACTCTAACTTGGAAAAGATGGCCCTAACATTGGTCACCTTAGCCAGAAAGATCAAACCCTACTTCTAGGCCCACAACATTTGAGTACTTACTGACCAGCCTCTTAAGTAGATACTACAAACTCCGGAAGTATCTAGATTCCTAGTCAAGTGGAGCGTGGAAGTAAACGAGTTCGACATCGAGTATGCACCCCGACCCTTGCAGACTTCATCGCAGAATGTACATTCACCACTGAGGAACCGGCTCCACCACCCCCTGTATGGACTCTACACGTAGATGGCTCATCGAACCAGTAGGGCAGCGACGCCGACCTCATCCTCCTCGACCTAGATGGTGCATTGTTGGAACATGCCCTCAGGTTTGAGTTCAAGGCGTCCAACAACAAGGCCGAGTATGAGGCCCTGATTGCTAGGCTCTGCCTTGCCTTGGACCTCGAGGCCCGAAGAACCGAGGCCTTCAACGACTCGCAGCTAGTGGTCAACCAAATTTACAGCCAGTTTGAGGCTCAGACCCCCTCCATGGAAAGTTATCTACAAAAGGTGCAAGAGCTCACTCAACGGCTTAAGCATTTCAATATTCAGCAGATCCCTTGAGTCGAGAACACCCGAGCCAACGCCCTTTCGAAGCTAGCCAGCTCGCCGCAGACCGACCTCGACTCGACAGTACGACAGGATACACTAGCCCAGTCGAGCATCGCACCAACAACCCTTCTTGTCCTCCCAGTACAGCATGACCCATCTTGGATGGACCCCATAACCGAGTATCTTCGAGAAGGCGCTCTCCCCAAAGA